CTATGCCCAGGATATGGAGGAACATTCAACTTGGTGTACAAGAGAAAATGGCGACCAACCACCAGCCAAAACATTTTGTTGCAGTTCATGGTTCATGCCAAGGAGCTTGGATCTACTATAAGCTTAAAACCCTTATAGAGATCGCCGGCCATCGTTTCACGTCGGTCGACCTCGCCGCCTCCGGGATCAACGAGAAGAAGCTGAATGAGGTTCGGACCCTACATGACTACACTTTGCCGTTGTTGGATGTTTTGGCATCAATTCCTGAGGGTGAGAAGGTGATACTTTTAGGCCACAGTGGTGGTGGCATGAGCGCAGCTCTCGGGATGGAGAAGTTCCCGGAGAAAATATCAGTGGGTGTTTTCCTCGCTGCTATAATGCCGGACACAACACACGGTCCCTCCTATTTTTTGGAGGAGGTATATATATGTGCGACATTGTGAATAATACTTTCAAATCACTTTTTAATTCGTTTTGTTTCTATTAACTAAAGTGGCACAACCATAATCATCGACCTTAAGTGAAACTCAATGGTACCTATTGATTTGTTGTAAATCATTCAAACCAAAATAGATGGTTGCAGATGAAGTTTGTTTTTAATTATGTTCATTTTTTATTTCCCTTTCTGGTGGTAAGTATTGCAAGAGGATCCCAACAGAAGCGTGGTTAGACACTGGGTTTCCAACCTTTGGTAGCTCCGAACAACCTCTCACAGCTATGGTTTTTGGCCCCAAGTTCTTGTCATCCAGGCTCTACCAACTTTGCCCCATGGAAGTAAGCCATCTCTCTCTCTCTCTCTCTATCTATCTATCTATCTCTTCATGCATGCATATTCGTAATCACGCAAATGAATTTTCTTCTAGGATCTTACATTGGCAAAGACATTTGTGAGGCCTGGTTCGATATATCTAGAGGACTTGTCGACAGCACCAAAGTTCTCGAAGGAGAGGTACGGATCAGTTAAGCGAGTCTATATTGTATGCAAGGATGATCTTGCGATACCCGAGGAATTCCAGCGCTGGATGATTGAAATAGTCGGAGCGACGGAGGTGAAAGAAATCAAAGGCGCAGACCATATGGCAATGCTCTCAAAGCCAAAAGAACTCTCTCATTGCCTCTTAGAGATAGCCAAGAAGTACGATTAGCTTCTGTGAATCAAAAATCAAATTTACAGAGCCTCGTCTCTCTCAAGTCTCATCACCTTTGTTCTTCCTAGTGTGCATGGTCTTGTTAGCTTCAATAATGGGTTTGGTAGATTTTTTTGGCTTTGAGGGTCATGGCAAGAGCCACGCGGTTGTTGTATGGGTGTTGAAATTTGTTTCTTTAGTTGGTGCAGTTTGTTTGAGTACCCACGAAATAAATTTCTTTTCCTGGTTGTGATTGATAATTTATTTATTGGTTGGATAGTTTTGAGATAAGTACAATCTCCATTGAAAACAAAAACCACAGCGCTTTGTGAATGACTCAAATCATTTGAATCCAACTTAATTTTTTTATAACCGGCAGGTACTCACGTGTGTTGCTCGTAAATTATTTTGCGTTATAGTATTTGTTTTTCTTGGTTAATGTCGTAGTAACCATAAGATAGCAAAAGACTTGCTCAACTAACTACAGAAAAAGCATATCGGAAAGAAAAATTGAAAAATGAATAGTTTGAATTCTGTAAAAGAACGTCAAGGAGGAGGAGGAGGAGGAGGAGGAGCAAGAAGTATTCAAAACAAAATATATGATATAAAATTCAAACAGTACATGCAAAGGTTAATTGAAATGGACCAACGATTACAATTCCTTGTTGGGATCATAATTCAGACTTCAACTACCAAAAAAAGAAAATGTTATTAGTCATCATGCGATAGCCCACGAAACTTGATGTTTTAGCCGTAACTTTTAGTCATTAGTTACTCTAAACTATATTAATAGCTAACAATGTCTCTTTTTGCTAGTGATAGCTGGGCATCGTGTCCATGAACACAAGTTTGTATTTCGTAATTAGTTTCATTCCTTGAAATTCAAATAATGTTAGACGTTTATATATACATAGTCACCCATCTCTTCAATCACATGCTTTACTCTTACTTCTTACCAAATTCTCAAAGTAATACATGGTGGTAGTATCTAAACGCACTCTTAGGAAAGCCAAAGTGGTACCAATTGATTAGATACAATCTACACTAAATTGAATCATCTTATACTACTTAGGTGCAACAATGTCAGATTCCTACATCTTGTCTAAGATGATCTTACGTGTTTTGGATTTTATATTACGTGCTCTTTATATCCAAGATTTGGGGGGAAGTATTGGCTCAGAGCCTATACTTCCCTCTAAATTCAGAACACTTGAGTGAAGACCTACCATCATTTTGTTGTTATAGTTTCTCTGTTATGAATTTAAAGGCACCTAGTACCTGTAAAGTTTTTTTACCAATAGAATATGATTACCTTCCAAAAAAAGGACACCCTAGCAAAAAAAAAAAAGAGCCAACAAAAAGGTCAAGAAAAAAGAACATAAGGTCAGAAATTGGAACTTGATCAAGGACCAACTTATTTTCATTAGCCAATTTTCATAATCTTGAATAAGAGAAATCCTAAGAAATGATTCTGTTAATTCGACAATTCGGAGCTTGATGTAGAGTACTCGATATTGGCAAATATCTAACTCTAGATGCTGTGAAGGTATTCAGGGGCAAGTTTGACAATTCACCAACCATTTGGCCAATCATGCAACCCATATTATAATTTTCTATATTCTGAAAAAAAAATTAAATATTATAGAAGATTAGATTTAACATATTACTTTAAAAAAAAATTATGACAAGTTATCAAAAGATAGCTAGTGTACCCGAAATCATAACCAAATAAGAAATACATAATAAAAATGGCAAATTGATTGTATATTATATGTACACTATGATGGTATGAAGTTATTATGAATTAACCATAATAAAAAGCCAAGAAAATTATTGAGAACTAGCCTATCATTCTTCTACTGTTTCTTTAATGAACAAAACTCGATAATTTCAAGATTGTGGCATAGAGAGAGAGAAAAAAATGAAACTATCAACAAACCATACATAGAAAAGAACGAGGGAGAGAATCACTTCCTGTTTAAGCATTCCTCTAAAAAAGATGGAAAATTGGAGGAAGTATCGAATGTGGAGGCTGAAATGAGATCAAGGGGACGTATTGAAGGTGGTAACTGGAATGGGTTTGGAGGAAGTGTCAATGGCTGAAATGGGATGGTGTCAACAGAATCCCAAAAGCTGCTGATTGGGTTGGCAACAATGGTATTTGTGGGATGAGGTTGGGGGGGGGGAAGCCTTTGTTTGCTGGGTGGTGCTGGGCTGTTATGCTCTGCAAATGACATGATGGTGCTTTTTATTGGTGCAAATGGCTTCCTGGTGCTATTTCTGTTGGGCTGATTTGCTGATTGCTGGGTAGTGCTGGGCTGTTCTGCTCTGCAAATGGCATGCTAGTGCTGATTTTTGGTGCAAATGGCTTGCTGTGGTGTGTTGTGCTGATTGTTGGTGCTGTTTTTATTGGTGCAAATGGCTTCCTGGTGCTGTTTTTGTTGGGCTGATTTTGCTTTGTTCTATGTTGGCCGTCGTAGTTGCTGGCTTGCTGCCATGCTCTGTTTATGTGTACCAATGTACTCGTGTCAACAATTCTGTGGGAGATACACCTAACCAGGGCATCTCTTACAGAATTGTGTTTTATGGCTTGACTTTTTTTAATTTTTTTAATGTTTGTTTTTGAGTCCTATGTGACGTCATTGTACAATGTATGGGTGATTACATTTTGTATTTATGTTTTTTTAATACACTTTACCTTCAAAAAAAAAACACAATGGTATTTGCGGTAGTAGACTGAAAACTCTAGGTGAGCTACCTTTTGATATTTCTTTAACTAAAATGTTATTGAAGGGTCATTAGATGTAGTTTTTGTAGGCAAAAAATGTGGGAATCCAGAAGGTGGTGGCTAACGAGAGAGTTTTGTCAAAGCTGGAAGCTTGGGTGGGAATAATTGGCATTGGCGAGTTTTCAGTAGGTGGTGGAGATAAAATGCCTGGGAAATAGTGAGGATGTGGAGGATTGACATTTTGAATTATAACTGCTGCCGAATTTCTAATTTTCTATTTCCAAAATCCACAAGGTGAGGGAGGATATGGAAGAGAAAGGCAGAGGTTCTAGGAGAGAGAGAGAAAGATGTCCAGAAGAAAGAGAAAGAGGGACAGGTTTCGAAGGAGATTTAGGATCCAAAAATTTGAAACTAGGAATTGGGATTTAGATTTTGGATTCCAAATGTCGACTAAGAGAGTGAGACAAGAAAAGGGAGTCATGGCCATCGGTAGAGGCAAAGTCGTGGTCGTCGATTGAGAGAGAGACAAAATGTGGGGCTTAGGGTTAGGGTTTCTAGTGGGGGGGAGATAGATAACAAAAATAGAGATTTTATATTTTCATATAATAATATATTATACATTATAATTTATGTAAAACTATTTATTAATAATAGTTGGAGCCGAATTTTGTCAGAAATGATTTTAAACTCCGAATCTGACTTCGACTTTGTTAATTATCTACCGATTTGACAAAGACAATGTCCGACTAGAGTTGAAGTTAGATACGATTTCTAAATTTTTGCACACCCTTAAGTATTGAAATTATTGTGATGACATAAGTACTTATGCCAAGTGGTATCATGTTGACTTATCTAAAAGAAAGTTCTTGTACAAAAACGCCACGATCTCACTTAATTTTGTTGGTGAACACAAAGATTATATGTTCTTTGCTCGAGGAATCATTATCTCACTTGATAACATCAGCTCTGATTATTTTAATTTTCTCAAGTACTCGTGTGTCTCGTGGCTAAGTTAAATAAAATTACATAGATAACCCTACTTTTTTTTTTACAGAATTTAACAATCACTATATAAAGAGTAAAGCATTTTGTATAAACCCTATACCTGGTACAGAGAGGACCATAACTAGCAGAATTAAGAGAAAATGGCATTGGCAAAGCATTTTGTTGTTGTACACGGTGCATGCCATGGAGTTTGGGTTTACTATAAGCTCAAACCCCGTATCGAGGCGGCCAGCCACTGGTTCACGCCGGTCAACCTTGCCGACTCTGGTGTCAACGAGAAGAACCTGCAGGTTCGTTCTCTATGTGACTACACATTGCCATTGTTGGAGGTTTCGGCATCAGTTCCTGAGAATGAGAAGGTGATACGTATAGGGCACAGTTCTTGAGAATGAGTGCAGCTCTTGGCATGGAGAAGATATCAGTGGGTGTTTTTGTGAATGCTATAATGCCTGATACCACACACGGCTCATCCTATGTTTTGGAGCAGGTATATTGTCTTCCTTATTCATATATATTAGGCCCCAGTATAGTAACTAGCCTATTACAAATATTCAATACATCCATGATACCATATCATTCTTCCTACCTGATATAGTCCAATAACACGTTATCACATATGCATGACGTACCCCAATAAAGGGGAAAATAAGTTGCTTTAATTCACTCTCGACAAATAGTTTTCATTTTATCTCTTCCCTCTTGTGGGGCCCTTATAGACGTAAAGATTCCAAATACTCCACTTGACAAGTTATAAGTCAATGAATATCTACTTTCCACGCATCTTCAAGTTCAAGAATTGTAAGTAGAGAGATCTTTCTTAGAAGTAAGTAAAGGATTCCTTCTGGCCTTCTGCTCTAGTAGCTAAGACCAGAGTCGAACCTAATCATTGAGCCCGAGGGTTGTGTATGTACCCAACTGGATATAACAAAGAGTCGTAGTTAAGCATACAGAGAAAAGGGATATAAGCCTTCGAGTAGGTAGAAGGTCAACCCGGCTAGCATGCCAAAGGAGACTATCTTCATGCTCAATCAATAGCAAGTTGAAATCATCCCCGGGACCGGTCTAGTAGAGGACTCTTTGGGAAGAAACAACTCTGTTATCTTACCATATCATTCTTCATACGTGATATAGTCCAATAACACATTATTACATATGCATGACGTACCCCAATAAAAATTTATCCAACATAATATAATCTAATATTATCACATATACATATGTGGTTTCTTGTAAATGGACTGTGATGACATATGTTTATGATTACATCATATTATCGGCATAACGAAATATCTATCGATGTTTTTCAATTATTCCTTGTTTAGAGATGCACAATTGATGCAATATTGCATTGGGTGAACATATTTTTTAGAGTTAAGTGACTGCACTGAAATGTGTTCATCGTACCCCGGGCCAATAGACTTCGGTTTATATGCAATTAAATGTTATGCAGACTTATCTCATTTTTAGGATATACTGATTCCAAGACTCACTTTTTAAAGTATCTCTTTGGCCAATAAGCATTTTATACTAGTTTTTTGAATGAATTTTTACTCATAACTTCCCATTCTGTGCAGTATTCTGGGGGACTCCACTAGAGGGTTAACCGGACACTCAGTGTTCAGCTTATGGTGACCCGTCTATGACATCCCTGGTTGTCCGCCCCAAGTTTATATCATCCACGCTCTATCACCTCTCCTCTATTGAGGTAACCTCCTCTTCCTCCCCCCAAAAAATAAATAAATAAAGTGGCTCCCTCTATCAATCTCATAACCACAATCATAATTTTTCTACAGGATGACACACTAGGGACACTCATGGTAAGGCCAGGGTCAGTCACTATTTATAGAAGACCTATTGAAGGCGGACAAGTTCACAGAGAAAGGGCTCAGATCGGTTAAACAAGTTTATGTTATAGTCATAGAGGATAAAACCTGATGATACTCAAAATGCGTTCAACTCAGCCTGTCTGAGGCCGAATTGCACAGCTCATAGAGAGCTGCTAGGGGTGCTCAAGTCAGTCGTCCTCAGTGACAATACCACCAAGTTAACATCAAGGATGATAGCTGGTAATCACCAAGGCATTACGCATAAACCGGCTCCATATTCAAACAAGAGAACTGCAACCACCAAGGTGCCACCCAAGGAGACAGCATAACAGATGCGTCCGTTACCGATCAAAGGCAAGGATCACATCGAAAAATCAGAAAAAACCCTGAGAGGCTATAAATAAGAGATATATTTCTCACAATAAACAACAATCAATCTAAACAAATACTCAATGTAATTCTCTCCTTTTTATCAATAAAATATTTTTCAGGAGCAAGAGACTTTCTTGACAGTGGATTAACCGAATTTCCGAGCTGGTAAACAACTATAAACTCCCGTTTGTTATCTCCCATCACACTTGTTCAATTTTGAAAAGTCTAGGAGTTCTGATTGCACCATCTAGTGGTTACCAAAGAATCATAACTTTGTTCGATTGCATAGTATACACCATAAAAACCATATCCGAAAAATTCCAGCGTTGGATGATTGAAAACAGCCCGGTGACGGAGGTTTAAGGAGATTAAAGGTGCAGACCATATGCCAATGTTTTCAAAGCCAGATGAACTATGCCAGTGTCTCGTCGAGATGGCAGAAAAATATGCTTAAATCTTCTCCCCCCAGGCTTTGTAATAATGCTGTGTGACATAACTGCTGATGTTGCTGGGGCAGAGACTAGTATTTGGCGTTTTGTGTGGTGGTACTTATTATGTTCTTCAAGCACTTATTTATGTTTGCAATGTCCTTGTTGTTAATGGGTCCTATATATAATAAATGCAAAAAGTGGAGCCATATGTTTGCTATTGATTTGGAGGAATTATGTAATATATGTACCATCTTTGTAATTTCTATTATGTATTTTGTGAATTAAGTTGCGATGTTTTTGGGATTATGCAATTCAACTTTGTCATCTTTGGAGGATTAATAAGAGAAGACTAAACTAAAAGGTTAGAGATCCGATTTGGGCTGGTTAACCTGAATCCAACCCTGGAAAAAATTGGGTTTGGATTGAAATTTTTAAATTTTGGGTTGGACTAAAAAACTTTAACCCAAATTGAATTTAGGTCATACTCAGATTGAGGCTTCAACTTCATGGGTTTAACCCGAACTCTACCCAAAAAACTAAATTTTGGCTCAACCCAAAAATAAAATAAATAAATATATATATACATACAACATATGAGTGTATGTTAGGTTTTTATTGAATCTGTTTAAATTTTGGTTAGTCGAGACATTGTGTAGTGTCCCAAAATGAACCCGAATTAGTTAACATGAATTGAACCTGAAATTAACTTGGGCAATACTTAGGCTGAGTACCTCGGAATATAAGTCAGAATTAGATTAGGTTAAGGTTGAGTACCTCGGGATAGAAGTCGGGCTCAAGTTGGGTTAAGACTATTGTGTTCAATCGTTTTATAAAAATGTAAACGATTTATTTTATTTTAAACGATACATACAACATATTCAATCGTTTTATTTTTTAATCTTATTATTTTTACACGTGTTGTGTTTCTGTTGATAAAAATTTATTTAATTTTACATCTTATATGATATATTATGTAAAAAAAAATGTAAAAAATATAAAATACTTGTTTTTTTTACCTACATTACCCATTAATCAAGTTATTCATGTCTAATTTTATTTTAACTCATTTATCATTCGCATCAATTGATGGTATTACGTTTAAATTTTGTGTCATGTCTAGTCATCCCCTTTCCTCAACAAAGATAAATATCAAATAACATGGAAAAGATAGTCTCGTGCACTAATAATGACTATACTATTGTGGTTGAAGGCACCTAAATAAATTGGAACGTAATTCAATTTTTGAACTTCATTTAACAACTTAATTAAAATAGTAGAAGGCTCCATATAACATTAGATCTCGTAATTAATTCAAAAACTACGTTAAATTGCATCCCTATTGCATCTAAATTTTTAATGATTTGACTATGGTATTGAATTTTTTTTCCAATACTATATATATATTTATTTATCACATTTGTGGTACTTTTATAGTTTTACTACATTTGTGAGTATTTTTATTGTTGTTATGATACTCCAAAAATCATTAAAAAAAAAATAGTTAACACAACAACAATAAAAATATCTATAAATGGGATAAATCACCTGTAAAAATAATAATCTTTTTATATTTAAAAAAAGTGGTAAAAATAATTACCACAAATATGATAAAAATATCCACAAAAATAATAAATTAACTATAAAAATGATAAGTTTTTTGATTATAAAATGACTTATAAAAATTACAAAAATAACATTTGAAGTAATAAATTTTAGAAATAATAAACTAAAATTTGGTCAATATAGCATTACTGAAATTTTTATAGAGGCCAACTAGTTTCTACCAAATTTAGGTTTAGAAATATTTTTGAAAAGTCAATCATCACAAGTCAATATTAGCATACACATATCTTTGAAAAGTTAGTCACCATGATGGCGATAACGCATTTTTATAAATGATGGGCTGGGATTCCGTTAGGTTATTATGATGATGCAATAATATTCAGAACTTTGAAAATTAAGACTACAGAGTTATAGTGGTTCACCAGTTTGGGAGTTCGGCTAGTCCACTCTGAAATGGAGGCTCTTGCTCCTTTTGTTTTATTCACAGTGATTACAAGATTGCTATGGCTTCTTTGTGCTACTAGGGTTCCCCACTTTGTTAGGAGGTGTTACATTGCATTTATAGGGTCATTCCCTACTATGTGGGATCTTGGCTGAGATTCTTGCCCTTACTTTGTGGGATTCTCCCTAATTTTAGGAAAAGATCTTGGTTGGGTGAGATTAGGTACCTCGATTATAGCTTCCTAACGCTTTAAGAACCTCTTGTGATTATCCAACTGTTGCCTTGGTTGTCATTACCATTGCTTATCTCGAGGGGACTTCTAGTTCTACTTTTCCGAGCTTTACTTACCTAATCTGACCTCCTGAGCTGGCACTTGGGATTTATTTTGAGGTATCATCAGTTGCCCCCCTAGCCCTTGGCCCAAGCGAGCTTAGGCATGGGCTAAGTTGCTTTCACCTTGGACCAGACCTGCGCCTAGCTGACCTTAGTCTGCACGTGAGATGCACGTGGGAGGGACTTTTTGACAGTTACAGCAATCACGGCTCCCTTGGTTACCACGCACGCCTCATCCCATGTCTTTCAAGCCTTAAATGCTCAACGGCTAAAAGAAAATCACACAAAATCACCGTTTATCTTCTACATTGTTCACCTTCATCTCCGGCTCTTTCTCTCTGCGACTTCTGGGCTTTCCTCCACGCGATTCTCTTATTCTTTGCTCAAGACTGTGCTTTCTGAGTTCAACTTGAAGTCCTGCTTTGCTTTTCTCCTCCAATTTTATCCTTTGGTTGTTGTTTACTGTTCTTTTTCCTGTTTAGGTACGCTTCGTTATGCCCCTTTCTCTTTCTCTTGCCTTTCCTCACTCTGGATCCCTTGTCTTCGAGGTGGCCATTATTTTTTTGGGTTTTTCGATTCTTTTTCTTTTGGAATCGCGATCGTTTTCTATCTCCTCTTCCCTGTTTTGTGGATTGGAACTCCACTGTGCGAATTCTTACTGTTGGGAGGTACAATGCTGACCCAAAGATTATCAGGGGGTGTTTAGTTAGTATTCCTTTTTTTTTTTATCATTCTTTTGACTTGCCTTTCTCCTTGTCAATCATGTCTGCCTCCTCTGGAGCAACTCCTTCCTCAGTTTTTCTCTTAGGCGATAGGTCTGCCAAAAGAAATTCTGATTTAGGGGATGTAGGTGACAAGAATGAAAACTTCCCCGGTGTTGAGGCTATCGATACCGAGGTGGACTCCAAGGAACTCCCCTAATCTTCCTCTCATGTACCTCCTAGTGCTGACAAGGGTAAGGGCAAGGTGAGTGAGGTTGGGATTCCTGATAGTGCAGCGGGTATGGGGGCTGCCTTCAGGCATGCTGAGCTCGTGGGTCCCAGTGGGGTGGATCCTATTCTCATGGAAGCTCTTAGTGCTCATTTTGGCTTTTTTCTTGGTGTTCAGCCCTGATGTCCGGATAAACTCACCCCATACGTTGCCCAAGTGCACAAAAGAGTTTGTTTCTTTGTGGCCGCTTTCGAGAATGACCTTCGTTTTCCAATGCACCCCTTCATAAAAAATGTTCTGCAGCACCTCAATGTTTGCCCTGCTCAGCTTTCTCCCAACTTCTGGGGTGTTTTAGTGGGTTTTTTAGTTTTCTTTAAAAAGCATGGGCTTGGGACTCCCATCATTTCCCTGCTTAAAGACCTCTTCAATGTTAAGCTTACCTCAACTAAGGACTTTCTATATATTTCTAAGGGGACCTCATCTAAGCAGATCATCACACACCTCCCGAGTTCTCATAAAGGCTGGAAAAATAATTTCTTTTTCATTGGGGGTGTCAATTGGGAATACAACCCTACTGATAAAACAAACATTCTTGGGATTCCCAAAGTCTGGACAGCCCCAGATAACTTAGGTGAGTTCTTGCCTGACTGAACTGCAGTATGAAGATTTATAAGTTATTTTCCTGACCTCTGCATCTTTGGTGTTGCCTCTTTTTTTATTATTATTTTTTTGTAGGCATTCGACCTGAACTCAGCACCGAGGACGAACGGGTGAAGCTGAAGTTGGCTAAGTGTAATCCATAGAGGTACTCTTAGCTCATTAAGCCCTGGGTATTAGGAAGGCAGGGATTCGGTCTTCTTGAGACAATGATAGAAGCTCCAACCCCACTTTCCTTTATCCGACCTGAGGACGTAGAAGGTAATATGTTCTTTCCCTTATTTGGTTTCATTGTTTTCCTCCCTTTCTTTTTCCTTTTGACTAACTAGCTCAAGTCAAATCTC